CGCACCTTTGCGTCTGTTCTCGTGTTGCGAATTTATCACATTATGTAAACACGTAATATTTCATTTCAAATGACTAGTTATCTCGATGTATTATACAGCTATGTATCTCGTTCAAGTCTGTCGGAGTGTAATTATCAATGTGAAAAGCTAATTGTACGATGAAACGAAATCTTTCTATCGGAAACGTGCTGTCAGGATTTGATACAATACTATCTGTATTTTCATTCCAATCAGATTGATTCGTACGAAATATACCGTCTATCCAAATGGAACTTTGACCAGAAATATATAATTTTTTTTTTTTGCATCTAGGCTAGTATCAATTCAACGTATATCTGTATAATTCCATTCTTCTTGGAATGTTGTCGAGTTTCTTTTAAAACGATTTAATACAATTTCGTCACCAAGTTGTCTAAATGGTTTTTAAATTCTCCTCCAAATACTAAGTTTACAGTTTTCTTAAATCACGTAGAAGAAAATTGAAAAGTACTCACGACATTCAATAAAGAGGCACACCGAACAAACTTCAAAAAAAGAATGAAGGTGAATGAAGCAAGTAGACAAAAATATCGAGAAGGAACAATAATAATTATATTTATTACGCAGTTTACAGTTATTTAGGTAGTGAGTTGAGTCGACGAAACAAATGCTTCTTTATCATTTTCTTTTTCCCTTTTTATTTGCGTTTTCCATTCTTCTCTCTCTCCCTCTCTCTCTTTCTCTCTCTCTCTCCCCGAATAAACGAAACGAGCTGCCTCGGACGTAGACGCACGGTCGGACACGTCTTCTTCTTCTTCTTCTTCGTTCGGGTCGTGTTCTTTCCCATCAAGGAGTTCCCTACGTGTTCGTAGGCTGGTCCGAGAACGAAAAAGCATTTGCTATACTTTTTTTTTTTTTTTTTTTTTTTTAAGCGTAAGACTCTTAAAAACTGGTATACTTCAGTCGCATGCGCTATAATCCACCGATTCGAAGTGAAATATATTAAGGTTTCTCGGCAAAAGTAAATGTACAAATATAACTTGTTAGGAATTTCGAGCAATCACAAGTCTCGAACATCATCTCTTCTCTCGCTTTCTCTGCGCGCCTCGCCCGTACGTTTTCTTTTTTTCTTTTTTTTTTTTTTGTTTTTTTTTTTT